ATGCGTGTGAGTTCGTACCGTGTAAGGCTGCAGAATTGCACGAAAATCGCGGATACTAACTATATCAGAAGTCTCACCTGCAGAATGCTAGGCAGTTCTCAGCAGTGCCGATGGGCAGGAAGCGCCCTATCTAGCTTGTTGAACCTGTGCTGTGAAATCTCGTTGTTGCCTCTCAACCCGTGTCATTCCACATTGAAACACGCTCACACACACGATGTAAGACATATACACCACCTGCTTTTTATTTATCACGAAGTTCGTTCTAATTAGTTTTATGTTCATTCAACTTTTTTGTTTATATTTCAATCTATTTGTAAAACATGTTTAGTTTCAGTTTCAGCTCAGCTAGTTCAAATCTTATACTTATACAATTCAATATCAGTTGTTTCAAATTCTAGTTTATTTCTGTTTTGATTTCGAATTAAGTTTTGACTGTATATATATATATATTTTAATTCGATTGCATACGTTTTCTAATTCAAAGCAAACTGACTTCTCATTTATTTCTGACTTTATCTAGAGAAAGGGTTTTGCTGGGGTGTGATTTTAAGAAAACAACCTTTAAGAAACCAACGCATAAATTATCACCTAAACTATATGCAAACACGTAAACTATATGCAAAGCGTTCATTTTAAAATAGCACGTTCTCTCTAGAAGCAAATTAGAATTGCAAAAAGAAATTAGACAAAGAATAAAATTCTATTAGAATTAAGCACAAACTGCGCACAATTCAAATTGAAAAGAACATAAATAGAAGTAACTGTTGCATTGCATAGAAACTGAACTGAAAAAAGATAGAAATTCATGACCTAATTCTAATTCATTTTTAATTGAGTTCCAATTCAACACTACTTAATTCTACTGTAATTGAATGTTATTTCTATTTCAAATGCTACTCAATTGAATTTTGATTTTGAGTAACATCCTTATATAATCCTGTTTTATTCGAAATTCAATGCATTTGTATTTCTCTTTAAGTTTGGTTTCTTTTCAATTTCATTTCTGCGGAGGTTACGTTTACACCTAATAAAACTATATTGTATTTTTATTCTAATTTTGTTGCTTTTATGCAGTTCTAATTTGCTTCTAGACAGTGCGTGTTGCCTTTAAGATGAATGCTTTGTATATAGTATGTGTTGCTTCCTTAAAGGTTGGTTTCTCAAAATCACCAGCAAAACCTTTTCTCTAGAATAAGTCAGAATTAAAGGAGAAGTCAATTTGCTTTGAATTCGATATATATTTGCATCGAACTAGAATCGAATTAAGACTAAGATTAGAATTGTATAATCGGAATTAAATTTGTAAATCAACATATAACTAAACTAGAATTTAAACACAGCTAAAATGGAAATGTATAAGATTTAAGCTAGTTGAAACTAAAAGTATTTACAAATAGGTTGAAATATATACAAATTTGTCAATTAACGTAGAACTAAATTAGAACTAACTTCGAAATAGATTAGATATAAGCTAGATTTGAATTAAACTAAGATTGAATCTAGATTTCATTTTTTCAAATAGAATTGGGTTGGAATTAAGATAGAACTGAAATAGAATTGCCTAACCTGCAGCTCGATTAGAATTCAATTACTGTAATATTGAATCAGAATTAGACTTGAATAAACATATAATTAAAATGACATTTACAATAGAACTAAATGGGATTGAATTCAATCAGGTTCAAATTCGATTTTGCAAAATTAAATTTAGAATTAAGTTAGATCCAAACAATAAAACGCTAATAAGTTAGAGTTCAACAGATTTAAACTATAATTAAGGGTCCATTTTATGAATTGAGATCAATTTTGGTTTCAAAAAATAGGCTAAAACTGTATAGCACTAAAACAGAAATTGGATTAATCTTTGAAGTCCATTGGAAATAAGCGAAAAGTAAATTTCAATGAACATTTGATTATACTTCAAGTCACATCTAAATCAAAGCCCAATAAAATTATACAGATTGTGCAAAAGCCCAAAGGACCAAAGCACAGACAACACCAAAAAACAAAAAAACAAAACTTTGAGGAGAATGTTTGGTTCAGCATCAAAAGAGGTTGTATTTGTTTTCATTGTGTTTTTTGTTTTTTGTTTTGAAGCAAAAAGCCCAACACCTTGTGTTTTTTTTTGCAGGCTTATCGTACAAGGATACTGACAAAAACGAAAAACACGTTCTTTTTTGGGTGTGTGTTTTCAGTATTTGATGGTTGGTTTTTCATAGCAAATCATCAAAAACAAACAACTTGTGGTTTTTGCTTTTTGATAGTCTTCTTCAACCATAAACCTTCAAAAAACAAAAAACATAAGTTTTTCTTTTGATTTTTGATTTCAACACCAAAAAACAAAAAAACACAATGAAAACCAACCAATCATCTTTTGAGGCTGAACCAAATATTCTCGTCAAAGTTTTGTGTTTTCTATTTTTTTGGTTGTTTTGGTTTATTCATTGTTGCTGGTTGTCATTGGGGATATCTTCTTATATATATATATATGTTTTTTTTTTCAATTGTTTTATTTTTGAATTGCAACGTGCTTCGTTTTGTATTAGAATTGGACTCTTTATACCCAAAAATATGCATAAAACATCGTAATACAAGTAAATTTAATGAAAGGGATTTGTTGTTTGGGGGTACCATATATATGATCACTATATACTGTTCGGAAACGAAAGTTTGGCAAGTCAGATTCTGATCCTGTAGCCACTTGGCGCTAACAATCCGTCGGCAGCCAACAGCCGCCGGTATCCTGGTAGTCAATCGCATTAACACATTGGTATGAATGACATTTTAGTCATGAGGGTACTGGCGGTTCTTTAGGTGTGTTCAAATACGGCCAATGTCAGCAAGATTTTCGGTTTTTGCAGTGACTCTAAGCTGCGAATGGCAAACGTAACAAAGGGAAGTTACCAACATCCCAGTGGTGTGCGATAGCGACAAGGGAGGCTTGCAGTTTCAAAGTAGACTAGTACAGATAGTGCACTAGTGTGCCTGACAGTATTTTGTTGCGTTGGGATGCCAATTTAGGTAAGGGGCATTGCCAGAGGTATTGGATGTTGGCGTTTGCTGCGTTTGCCCGGCATGACGCGTCAAATGCCCCATGGGAGATAATATCGCTTGTGGAAGGAGCTGAGTTCTAGCTTCAGTTCTTTGGGGCTAGCCCAACCTCAGGGTCAACCTTCAACACTGTTTTGTATCGTGCCAGATTTTGTGCATTTATTTACAGTGCACACTCTGGATTCGCTGCAACTTTTGCTGGCGACTCCTTTTTTGATGCCTTCATCTCAATTGAACATACTCCATAATAAGGAAAGATAGTGATCGACGCATGCGATTCATATTGAGAAGATTGTTTGATAGCTTTTGGATGCCTTTAGTTTCCATTTTAAAGACATGTCAGCTAGTCCGTGTCGTGTTTTTGCATTGACCATTCAGAATGTGAACCCCAAGATCACCAAAATGCAGCTCAGGACCTGTCTGTCACCGTTCTTCCAGGCTATTCGAGCACTGAGCCAAGTAAAGAAGCACTGAACCTAAAATGCGCTGAACTCACTAAGATTGCTAAGCTGCTAAGCAATGTTTGTGCAATCTTTGACACCCGGCGAGGCGATGGACAACTTCATGATGGCACGTTTTCCACCAGTGTGGACCCCATGAGTTAAATTGGCTTTTGTAATCAATTCAGAACCACCACACAGAGCTATTCGATCAAAAAGATGTTTGCACTTCAGAGATGCTTTTGCAACTTGTGAGCCACCTTGCAGTAAGGTCCGTCGCGTTTCTTGGATGAGGACACCGACCATTTTTCGAATTCATGTATCATTTGTTCGAATAAAGCACTCAACACCACACGTGAATCAGTTCCTGGACTTATATAGACAGGCCAAGGATATTTCAAGCTTGCGCCTGTCAAGCGTTCTGCGGCATGCTCAGAGACGCAAGTGCGTGCTCTAATCATTCAAAGAAAAACATCTAAATCCTGAGAGCATTGCAAAACAAAGGTTGGAGAGCTGAGCAACAAATATCACCTGTCACCCTGTAAGCTGAAGATCAAGTGTGCACAAGACTCTGGGCCCGGACGATCGTGAACAATAACAGTATATAAAACACGAATATGGCCAGAAGCTCCACAGAGGATGAGTTTTGCATGGGAAATGGCTCTTTGAGTGGAGCTAGATTGCTACCATGCCAGACAACAACACGGACTCTACGGAGCTTGACTCGGAGAAGTTCCTGCAAAGTGCATTGCCAGTGGCTGCAGCTTATCAAGCTTTGAATTCAATTGAAAGAATCCATGATGCAATTTATTTCTAGCTGCTAGCTTGTCTACAAAGGTTGTTCAATGCGGATTCTGCAACTGTTCCCATGTGCTTGATGGGGACCAAGAATGTATATAGTTAATTCAGTTTTAATTCGTTTGTCCAGGGTGAGTCTTTGATGCTTTTCTGGCACGTTTACAAGTGGACACCTTCAGTGGTTCTGAGTTCACGCTGCTGTGCTTTGAAAAGGTCGCATGGCTGATTGCAATTTGAGATGTCTTTGTGCAGCTGTGAAATACCAACGCCATGTGGCTGAAGATCAAAGTGGACAGAGCATATATGTGCAGTCTGCGAGACTCATGTGATCTTTGATTTACTGCATGTTGACAACAGAAAGTTTGAAAGCACTCCCCTTTTGAGACACAGCAATAGCCTTGTGTGGACTCCAGATCTTGAGTCAATAAGTCATGCAAACAATTCGATATGTCTGATCAGTATGTAGAGTCCTCAGCAATGTTTTTGCAACCAATCATGAACCGTATTCTTGAAGTCAAAACAAGCTTCTGCGTAAACTGAGGATAGTGCCTTGCGCAGGCCAAGAATTCTCACAGAGGGTCCAACGTTGGTGCAAGATGGTTTCAGGTTAATTTGCGCTGATGATGACAAGCTTGGTCCAATTCTCGCGAAGTTGTGACATGGATAAACAGGAGAGTATGGGCCTTTGTGTTTGTAGGAAGAATTGACCAGGTTACCCTTGGTCTTTGACGAGCTTCTTTCACAGACAGCAAGGTTCCTCAGAGTCTTGGAGGGAGCTTTGTCCGGCTTCATCCCGCTCTTTTGAGCAACCAAGGACTCAACGCTGCGGGCCAAGCTGGTCAACATCTTGAACCATGTGCTCACACGAGCAAAGGGCAATACGGTGTGTGCCTTGTGGGCCTGGTAGGCGTTGAGGGCTCCTGACATGGCGTTAGGCGACGCGTTATAGGATGTGTTAGGGGTGTCTATAGTGACATTGAGGCCATCAATCTCCCCGCCCAAAGTATTTTGGAACGCTGCAACCCGAGCTTTGCTTCGTTGCGATGCAATCGATTTGACTTGTTTTGGCCTAGGTTGGTTTGCACCTGGACTGGCCACAAGTCCAAATGGACCATTTTTCAGGAACTTGCCGTGGGCCAAGAGGAGAACCAGCTGAGCCAACTCCCATGGGCTGAAAGCTTGTCTCAAGGCATCTACCACACGGAATGCTTGTTTGGCCTTGCCGATCATTCTTTAACTTTAGACACTTCTTGCAGTGTAGTAGTCTGAAAGTTGACAACCCACACCTGAGTGCGACTGTGCTTTGCGAACTTCTTCGCTAAAGACTCGGTTAGGAAAAATGCTGGTGGGACTCTTTGGAAGACCTTAAGCCAGTGCACTCCCGACAAGTTTTGCTGGGGACAAAAGTCAAGTCAAAGAGCATGGGATGACAGCCATCCCTTCTGGGGGCTTTGATCTAATCCACCAAAGGTGCATTGCATTGCCTTGCCTTGTATGCTTCTGCATTATGGATGAGTTGTGGTACATCAAAAGAATCCTTCCAGCCTTCCAGCTGCGTATCCTTTCAAATTTTCATGTTCCGGTCTGGGTGAGGTCCATCATTTTTCTGGATGTGGGAATTCCTCGCTTGCAGCCACAGGCCGGGAAGGCATTTACGGAACCTGCAATGTGTAATGTGCAAGTAACATAGAACACTTGTATGTTGCGCAATGGAAGGCATACGACAGCCTGAATGTTCTCCAACATCGCCTGTCCAAGACATTCAGACCTCCTTGAGAATGCAGCAGTCTCTCTACAGCCACTCTCAGAATCTGTTCACATCTCTGCAAGTCTGGGATTGACGAGAGGAGGACATTGGGGGGACTGTATTTACTGTATTTGCCCTCTCGGGACAGATGTACCACGAATTTGTCTTGGAATTATATAGACTGTTGTCCTCCTATGTGGTGCAGGGTGGTGTCCTCCTGTGTCCATGTCCTGGCCACGTGGTTGGGTGTCCGAACCTGTCATTGGTTATCTTGAAACGAAAGCTAAAAAGCGAAAACATTGGTTTGTTTGTCTGGGTCTTTTGTGTCCAGTTGTCCTCCTATGCTGTTAGCTTCCTGTCGTGGGGTGGGGGTGCTGGCTCAGGGTGTCGATGACATGAACCTATAGTACAGTACATTATTTGCCATGCACGACAACAATTCTGGCTGATGAAACCGTTTGAGGTCTACAAACTTGGTCCCCTTGGTAAGCAGCATACACATCACACCGCACGAATGCTTGCTACCACATGTGTTGCTCAAGGCGATGTCACCACCACTGCTCCTAGTTTCCATTTCTTGTGGCAATGTTGCTTCTTGTAGACCATGCTCAAGAAGAGCACTCGTGAGTGTACAAAAGCACAACTGCTGACAGGAACAAATTGATCTAGCCTTGTCCGAGGCCAATTCTGTTTTTTTGATTCGCCTCAGAAAACATTCCCTGACAAACTTAGGTACTCTTTAGAGAACTTCGGGAAGCTCCTTCCTGGATTGGACAGCGGCTTTGCGCACTTTGTGAGAATGTTATGCATATTCTTTTTTCTCAGGACAGGATTGTTGTCTTTCTCTCCTGCATTCCTGGCCTTGGACAGATTTCCGAACTGCGCAAAGAGCAGGCAGCAAGACATACTTGTAGTGCCCTGTGGTTGAATGTTTTGTGTGGGATCACTCATGGAAGTGTGCCAGGTGACGCGTTGTTTGGCGCTTCTGAAAAGTTCCTCATACGATTCAGCCTTGGCCACAGATGTCATTACATCACTACATATCAGAATCAGCTGCACTGTTGGAGCAGACAGCTCGCACTAGGTTTGGGTGCTGTGGGTAAGTGGAAACCCTCTGTGGAAAACAAGTGCAAAGCTCTTCAGAGACTTTTCTCGGCGATGCCATGCGATCGCCCTGTGGTCTTGAGAGTTCAGTATCGCAAGAAGCCGCACGTTTCAACTGTGGTCAACTAGAACGCAACTGCACAGAAGGTTCCCACACATGCCCAACAATTTTATTTGATCACAGTTCAAAATGCAACTCTGAAGAACATTGAGTGGTGCCACATTACCCAATCTCTTCGTTACACAACCCACAAGCATCTGCTCGCGACGAACCCACTTTACACGGGGCACCTGTCTCCTGCATCAGCTGGCGAATGCACTGCATCCCAACTGCCGTCCTTCAATCTTCCATACTTCCTACCGTGGTTCTCACAAGGTGATCGAACAGGGACTTGGCGTCCACAAGGCAAAGTCCATGGCGCAGCTTCTCATCGACCTCGTAGTGTGACAAGGCGTGGAGCCTTCTCTTCTTTGATGGTTTCTTCCCACCTTTGGTGCTCAAATTCTGGCTGAGTGAGATCGTTGTGCATCGTGGTCCGTGCCAGTTCCTGGAGCCCCCCTTGATATGCTCTGAGCTTCGGAAGCAAAAGTTAAATTCACCACTCTGTGCATTTTGCCCAACCCCTAGCGCCGCAAGTTCCCTGGTGCGGTGCAATCCCAGTCTGAACAAGCTCCTCATCATAGCAAAGGGCTGCAAATCCTCCCTGGGAGTTGCCATTGGTGGCGTTTGCCCACGAAGCGTCAGTAATGGCACCAGAGCAAAGGCGATCCTCTTGAACGAGCTGGATCTGAACCACCATGTCCTTGTGCTGTTTGACCTGTCTTATTCAAGCCTTGACACCCCAATGAAGCAGCAGCCGCTCCAATTGCAGGCCTGGTGTCGTCTTTCTCCTTTTGGGCGGCGTCCTTGCTCCAGAAGCACCTCATATCCACTATATAAAGGTATCCGGGCCTGGCTCTGAAGAGGGTCGTTCACCTCAAGGATGATGATAACGATGCCGATGCCACTCGCACTGGAAGACCTCCTTTGTGCTTCCTTGAGGTGCTCGCGCTGGTGTTGAACACTTCCTCCCACTCTTCTCCATCAGCCTGCCTCCATTGTGGCCGCTTAGCCGGTGTGATTGAGTCCTCATCCACCTGCTCGCTTCCTTTCTTTACCAGCCATCCCTTCAGCTCTTCACTGACGTTGGCCTTGCCCTTGAGATGGAACTGCGACGAGGTTCTCCTCTTTCCTTTTTCTCCTTCCCCTAGGGGTTTTCTCAGTTTCGTGCTCCATCGCAGGTGTGTCGAATCCACCTCCGAAAGATGTTTGCAACTGAGCAATCTGGCCCTTGCGGCTTAAATGGCTTGGTTGTCTCGGAGTCGTCAGCGTGATCTTGTGCTTTCTCATGCATTGACTTCAGGTAGGTAGAACTCCTCATGATATGGCCTCCATCGAATGCTCTTCAGCTTCTGTCAGATTGGCTGGAAAGTTTCCTGCGGCCTTAAAGGTTCTTCACTTGCTGGGCTCTCAATCACGCATATCTTCAATCTCTCCTGTTCGGTCTTCCAGCCTCATCCTCCCATCAGTGCCTACACTTTCATGGGGCTTATCCTACGCTGTGAGGTCCGTTCAACAGTCCCAGAGCTTTTTCCTCCTCGCAACTGGCCCTGCAAAATCTGCTCCACTCCTCCTGCCATAGTTTGCCGACCCAGGCGCCACGCCCTTCTGTCAGGATCAAGGTATCGGGGCCTACCCACCGGTCGTGTCCGACGAAACTTTTTGGCAATGGTTACCATCCTGAGGTAGCCCCATAATTAATGGTGGCAAAGATCTGGTGCTTCTCCCAAAGTGGTTGGCAAAACCGTGGCCAAAGATGAGGTGAAATTCTCTGACGCAGGGCATCTTTGTCATGGGTCTTCAAGCTGCGCTTGATGGCTTTGTCCATTCTTCATAGTTGGCCCTTCTTGGACTCCTCTATGTTCCTCCTCACCTCCAGGGCTTGCTGCATGGTCTTCTGATATTGGTGGCTCTCTGCATCCTCTCCTCCACGCAGCTCATCCACAGCATTTGGCCCCTGAGGTTCCGCAGCTGCACTTCGTTGATTGAGTCTTTGTCAGCTGCACTTCCTGATTGCTTCCTCCTGCTTCTGAAGCTCCTCCTCTTGAAAAAACTCGCGCGCGTGCCTGCCACGGTTGTGAAAATGCCCCCTGACCATTGACTCTTGGTGGCATCTGGGGTGGCTCGCGCAGTGCTGCTGCTGGTGTTGGTCCGAGGATTGGTGAGTTGTTTGTGTAGTTGCCGGCTAAGGCTAACGGCCAAGGGCGTGTTCGGGCGGGCCAGCCCAAGGAAAACCAATTTGTCGCGGGAGCGCGACGCCAAACCCGAATTCACGAGGCCCGTCGATGCAACGAAGACTTCCCGGAGAGTTAAGCCAGCTGTCAGCCTCTTTTTCGCGCTCTCATTCGGGCACGGTGTGAATTTGGCTTGTCCACCTCGATGGCGCTTGCCTCGGCCTAAAGTCGTGCAATTGTCCCGGTTCCACTGCAGTGCTACCCTTTTACTGCCAAAACACATTGCTCTCAGGCGCAGGTGACAGGCTAGAGAAGCCAGATCGAGTCGTTGACTGAGAACCCTCTGAGGGTCGAGCTTTGTAGCAGCGCCTGGCTGACCCGTGCAGCCCTTGACCCAACGCCCAACATCTTGCACACTTGGTCCTCAGCTTGAGCATATCGACGTGCGCTTTGTGAGATCCTGCATCATCCCGCCTTCAAAAGGGGGTTGAGCTTGAAAAGGCCTTCCCCCTTTTCCCACGCCCCTGTCCACCTGACTGCCAAGTGTTTGTTCGTCTTCTGAGCTTGCAAAGGTCTCTCTTCACTTCGTCACTTCATGGTACGTCGCTAAGGCCTCTTGCAACTCTGGCTCCTCGAAGATCTGGTCGCGTTTTCTGTCACTGATCCACACGAAGTCCAGGTCATCCTCCTGCGCTTCTTCCACTGTGTATGTCTTGTGATGACCCCTCCTTCTCTTTGGTCACTTTCTCGAGGCGCCGCAGTGCCTTGATGATGGCATCTCGTTCATATTTTCCGCTCGTCCAGTCTGTGATTGAGCCCGGCTCAAATTGGCTTGTCTAAGAGCGTATAGTCTTTCACGGTGTCATTGAGCGCGACACCTTCATCTGCTAAATCTTTGAGGGGTGCCTCCATTCTGATCACGTACTCCTGGAGCAGCTCCTTGCTCTTGCGGGCGTCGCCAAAAGGCCTGGGACAGCTGTTTCCGTGTATGGATCAAAATGTCCTTCAGCGTCTCCAGGATGGTGCTGGTGCCGTTTTTGCCCATCATCTGGGCCACTGCCCGAGCTGGTCTAGACAATTGTCTAATGATCTTCACTGCTTCTCCCTGAGCACCTCCGTCTCAAAGCTACCTGCCACAGGCATGCTTCACCCGGTCAAGGTTGCCAGAGTTCTTCTGGCAACAACGTCTTCTCTTTTGCTTCCTGACATGGCGGGCTAGCAAGCTAATATTCTAAGCAGCTTCAAACTCCGCTACCACTGCGGGTAGCACGCGTCTAAGTGCAAACCCTCCGCTAAAACGCGACTGCGCAAAAGGTTTTCACAGGTGCCAATCCTTGTTAGAGTATGATGTTGGCAAACTTGTCATTTTCACAGCAAGTCGACAATTGAAAAAATAGGCTTTAGCTCTACCTGCCCAACCTCTCTGACGTTTTACATGTAAGCTCTAGGCAGTTGTTGTATACAAAACACGAGCTAGCAATTTTGGCAGGGTTTCAGAAATCAAATTCTAGTGGCAACAAGTCGCTGATGGTGATGCTGGTTGGTTGGAAAATAATTTGAGGCAACAAGGGCAATGGTTGCCACCACTTCACCGCAAGACGGGGTCGATGTCACAGTTGATAGGTACCTATGACTACCAAACAAATATGATATTATATACAACACACAATCATCTTGGAATATCTTGGGCAATTTCTTTTTTGTTTTCTTCTGCCACCTTTGTACCAGACCCAGGTTGCTGCCTTTTTCCAGTCCGCTGTTGAGTTTTTGCTCATCCCTTGTGGGGCAACGGAGGCCTGATTGCGGTTTGACGCTTTGCTTGTCACATCGTTTGAAGTCTCGAGGCCGCTTCTGTAGGTGGGTTGCCGTCCGCAAGCAGCAGGCTCAGGCATAGTTGCTTAGCGCTGAAACCTTTCAGAGCAATGAGTGAGGTTGGTCACACTGGAAGTCTCGCCTCAAGTCAAAAGCAGCTGCAGAGATGGTTGGGCTCAAGTGCACAGTGCTTCGGTGGCTGTCATCGCTTGGCAGGGAAGCCAAAAACATGTTCAGTTTGTCAGACCATTTCGTGGTAGAAGGGGCATTTGTCCAAGCACAAGGCGCCGAGCCTCCTGCCTTTTTAGTCTACTTGCCATCCCTGGTAGCATCAGTGGCGCTCCAAGAATAATGAAAGTTTCAAATTTGACTCAACCAATTCGATATTTGAAGATATTGCCTGGGAGGTGGAGAACTATGACGCAGACTCCCAGATGCAAATGTTTTCTTTTTGCATCCCTCCTTGGCTGGCTTGCGTAGGCCCAGATCCGAGGTATCCAATATGGCCGAAAGCAACTGCAAACGGTTGGATTTGGAGCCGTGAGCCAAGAGTCTGAGTTTTGCTTGTTGATGACCCTTGCATCTCTCAAATTCGTTCCTGATCAGGCTAGATATGGATAACGATTTGGACCTTCTTGGCCGTCGAGACCCTCAGAGAGAGAGAGAGAGAGAGAGAGATGAGGGTTAAAGGAAGGAATGAAATTGGACTGCCTTGGGCTGCCCAAGCGACCCTCCTTAGAGTCCCTTCCTTTCCTCTTCATTTGCTGTCTAAGCTGCTATGTCGTGCAAGGACTCATCTGCCTGGGTCTCACCTCTGCGCCGCCGGGCCAAGAAGATGCCTCAGGTCCTCTCAAGGCAACGTGGCAAGACGTACGTGCGACGCAACATGCGAGCTGTGAGAAAAAGCACGCATAGGCATAGGTTTCTTCTGCCGCAAGTTGCTGACCAGGTTGAAACAAAGGTGTCTGTTCCGGCCAAGTTGAGACACAAGGTCATGGCCCATCAAAGTCGCTGATTGCTACCGGCAGGCTGGGCCTTTCAATCCGTTCCAACTCAAGATCCTTTCAGGTGCTCGTGCTACTGCAACGCTCCCGTGGCATTGGGCCATCTCTAGTGGCACATGCCCTCACCCCAGCTTCGAACACGCCAACTAGAACCAAATTTTATAAGGTCATACACTTCCCTTTCAAGTTGCCTTGCAGGGACCTATTTTTTCCCAGAACTACTATATATATATATATATATCCTGATCCATGCCCTGCGCAGAGGATCGCTTTAGGGACAGGTCTGTGGTTCTAATTATATACTTGCTCGGTTTGATCCTTGCCGATTTGCACCCTTCTTCAGCACTGAGGTGGTGCACCTGATTCGGCAGAGCCTTCGTGAAAACGAGCAGGCACATGAAAACATTATGGTTGCAGCACCAACGAGTTTTATCATTGTGTCAAGCCCAATCACAAGTTTCTTTTTCCCGAATGCGCAGCAAAGGGTTCCATTTATTTTTCGGGGTCTGGGGTAGAGCGGTGATGTTGGCTTCGTGTTCACAACCGTCCGGATGTGATCGATAGGGCGGTGCCATTGGGGGAAGCTTTTGGAGCAGGTTTTGGATGGAAGCCTGAAGTGTCAGATTCGTGTGAAATAGCGCAGAAACGGGGACATGTTGAAGTGTGGAGGGTAATTTTGCTGTGCAGGTGCAGCGTTTCGTGAGACCCTCAGTTGCATTCGCTGTACCATTGGGATTGGATGTCGCTGCCTCGAAGCTGTGTTTTCGTGGCAAGTCTCAGCTATGAGTGTGCTCAGAAAGCGTCGAAGTCACTCCAAGCGCACGGAGTGGTGCAAATATTGTTGAAGACATGAAGTTGTCATGTCGTCATTTTTCGCGGCAGGTGCGGTACTTTGTGCATGTTGGACGTGTCGAAGTTGAGTTTTCGTGGCAGGTGCAGGGAGCCGTGAGGTTGTGACGCTTGGTGGAGGTGAATGTCACTGTGCGATTGGCGTGTCAGCCGCTGTGGTTTTTGAGGAGGAGGCAGGGCTGCTTGATATGCTCACTCTGAGGAGACTTCCCGCTTCACCTTTGGAGGAGGTCACGTACGAAGCGCTTGTTGACGCTTGACTTTTTGGAAGACGTGTGGTACGAAACATTTTTTCTGGAGACTTGACGCAGGAGATTCTGAGAGTGTCTCCTACAAGAGTGTCCTCCAAGAGTGTCCTACCACCACAAGAGCGCACAAGAGTTGCAAGCAAGAGTGTCCCACAAGAGTGAGTGTCCTACAAGAGTCTTCCCCAAGAGTGCCTCCTACAAGAGTGTCGCACAAGAGTGTCAAACAATGTTTGGCAGTTTGTTTTCAAGTGCGTTTGTTGATTTGGGTTCGCGGGCGCCATCATGTTTGTTGGAAGGTACAGCAAAGTGCTTTGCAACTGGCATTGGTGCTGTCTGAAACAGCCGCCAGCTGATTTTGGAGGTCTGGTGAACACATGCCTGCCTGCCCTACAGCTAGCTCAGGTTGATCCGGAGAACTTGGTCGAGACGAGTGAAAAGATACTAGCAGAGGTGCAGCAACAATTACGAAAGCTAGTAACTTGCCGTTTTGTGGCTTGGTAGCTTGGTTTACCTTGGTAGCCTGGGTGGCTTGGTAGGCCGACTCTGGTCTCTGTCTCTCTCCCCCTCTCTCTCCCCCTCCCACACTTCAGTTGTTGGCTCGCTGTCCATATACGTTCCGTCACCTCCCTCACTTGCCCGAACATGAACTCACACACGACGCACTCACTCATTTACTTAAACTTGCAAAAACCAAATAACTGTGGTTTCATGTTCACAACCATGAAACCGTGTGTTCTGTGTTGAACTACCTCCCAGAGCAGCGTGACTTTTGTTGCGCCAGTGTACCACGGTGGCGGAAGTCGTGCCACATTTTTCCCACTGACCTCGTGGATCCCATGAAGACGCGCAGCATTTGTGCCGACAACATTTTGAGCGCCAGCATCGCTTCAGTTTCAGGAAACCCGTGCAAAGTGTCCTGTTAGTTGCTCATTGACCTCTGCATCATCGTTTCCTGGGCATTCTCGTTTCTTCAGGGTTTCAAGGCAGCTCTTTACGGGCATTACTGCATTACACAATGGCTTGATGTGGCCTTGGACTTCTGATCCTTAGAAGTTAGGTGAGGTGCATGAACTCAGACTCCACAAGTAGGGTCAAGTGCGGTGGAAGATTTTGCCACCTGACGGAATGACGGAATGTCCATCTAGCCGAAAGGTGTGCCATCGCAATGAAGGTTGGTGGCTCACATCCATCTCTGAGCTTGAAGTTTAGGGGCGTGCTGACTTGGCGCAGACCTTGAGTCGAGGTTCCAAGTCCTCATTAAAGGCTGGGCGCCGATACCAGAAGCACTCTGTGGAACCTTGTGTACAGGAATGCACAGCCCTGCATCTTCTTGCAGCAGGTTGCATGTGCTCGTGCGCAGCTTGTTTTTCAGACTTTGCAACCATGGCAACCTCGAGGTGATGCCACCCTGGTGCATGTCAACATGAAGGAAATCAATTGGCAAGGCAAGGTAGAAAGCGTATTCGGCGGGAATCTACAGGCGGACTGTACTTTGCCATCCTTGCAATCAAATTCACCATGTTTCTTGCGTGCGAGACCTGCTCAATTCCCACTGGTTGCTCCAAATACAACGACGTCGCAGCAAACAAACTTGAGAGGGCTGCCCAGCTAAGACTTTGATGGGCAGGTTTCAAGCCGGCTCAACTACCTTTCTGGATTGAACAGAGTTTTTGGACACATTATATAACAAAAACACCCAAAGCATACCGCTGTACGTTTCCTCTACAAACATGGGATGGGTTGACCACTGAGAAAAGGCATCCTTTTTGTAGGAAACTTGTTTGGTGTTTTCGTGTGTGCCATTTTGATGCATTTTGTAGAAGGGTAATCTGAGTAGTACCCGGTACCCACGGCATGCTGATTTACGAGCATGTGATTTTGTAGACAAATGTAGACATTCCTATTTAAGGTGAAGTCTCGACATTTTGTAGAGAAACGTGTGTACTTAGGGTGGATTTTGCGGCTTTGTCTTGGCTCCTATACAAGTAGAAGATGAAGGCAAGCACATGGATCAACAATGGCAGATATAGACAAAAGCATCAAAAAGCACAAACGCAACAATTGCGTTCAATTGGGTAGAACGAACTGAATTCAAGTCAAAAAAGGATCCAAGCCCTCCCCAACCTTGATGGCTGTCTCTACAAAATGGGTCGCAAAAGTTTTGTTTGCCAGTTTCAAATCTAGCTCGCTTGTAAAAGTTTGCATCTCTAGAGAATGCGTCATGAACTGTATGGAGCCCTGCTAAATTTTCTTTCCCCGTTTGAAGTTTCCCATTTTGTAGAGTGTCCCTGGCCAAAAAGGACCTTGTGCGAGGCATTCTGTAACTACAAAATGGGCAACGCAACTTGACCCCTCGGAGGGGATCCCAAAGCTAGAGGAGACGGGCCGTCTTAGCAATGACGGTGTCCAGTCGCAAACAGCTCAAAAAAAGGTGTGGAAAGAGCAGGCGGAGAGATGAGCGAGGCGAAGAACGTACATGGATAGCAGACCAGGGCCAAAAGTGAGGCTGAAAGCAGAGAAATATGCCAAGAAGGACGGCCGCTGATCCCTATCCTTGTCCGCACCCTTTGAGTTGTCCCTCCCATTTTCGTACACGCGAACGACGGTCGCCGAGAGGAGCTTGAACAGGTCAAGTAGATGAACATATCCCGGTGAAGGCTGATTGTTTTAACGCAGGTGCATGTAAAATCACGCTCACCTTTCAAGTCTCGGTAGAAAGACCCAGACCCAGATCCACCTTGAAGAGCAACCAGCCAACCCTTCCCCACCACACCTTGTTTTGTGCAAGCTGATTACTTCGCCGCCGCCTTCATGGAATTGTGGACAAACAACTTTACTGTACATGTTTCTTTTTTTTGTGTCAGTGACTTCCTGAAATTGGAAGACA